AGAGAGAGAGAGAGAGATCTGTGAATCTGTATAGAGAATGATATATCCGCCAAATTTTCTGTTTACAGTGATTCCCTCTCCTGATGGAAGAAGGAGCATGATGAAGCTTGCCCAAAGGATGATTAACAACTTTTGCTCGAGTATTAGTGCCTCAAGTAGCCATAGATGGACTGCTCTTTCTGGTTTGAATGATGATGGAGTTCGTGTCACCACCCATAAGAGCACAGACCCTGGCCAGCCCAATGGTGTCGTACTAAGTGCTGCTACCTCATTGTGGCTTCCTGTTTCCCCTCAAAATATCTTCAATTTCTTCAGGGATGAGAGGACCCGACCTCAAGTAATCTCTGTCTCTCTCTCTCTCTTTCACACAGACACAACCACAGGCAAAAACTTGGATTGTCTAAGCGTTTATCATTTGACAGTGGGATGTGCTTTCAAGTGGAAATGCTGTTCAAGAGGTTGCTCATATAGCAAATGGTTCGCATCCTGGCAACTGCATCTCTCTTCTTCGAGTAAGTTTCTGACTTTAATTGTGGTTAGAGATGGTGATTATTTCTTCAAATGTGCAATGGGTTTCAGTGATGTTCATAAGGCTCTATAAAAACCCATGATTTTTTGAAAAATAATTTTAGTCATAATTGCAAATAAACTGCACTGAGTAGTTTGGGCCTTGGATTGTACTCCCTCGGTGGAGAAATTAATTGCAGATATATGAGACTAATTGGACTGCTTAGTTTCCCATCTTGTGGCTTGAAAATTTAGGTTTTGTAGTGGCGAAATAAGTTCAGAAAGAAGAGACTTTACTCTCTCTCTAGCTTGACATGACATTAGTCAATTCAAAAAGTGGGTGCCTTCTCTGATTGTGTTTTTAACATGTTAGTTATAACTGATTTTATCCTCTCTCTCTCTCATCACAGGCATTCAACTCGAGCCAGAACAACATGCTGATCCTCCAAGAGAGCTGCACCGACTCTTCGGGCTCACTCGTGGTCTATGCCCCTATCGATGTCACTGCCGCCAACATAGCCATGAGTGGGGAGGACCCATCATACATTGCTCTCCTGCCCTCTGGTTTCACCATTTTACCAGATGGTAGGCCTCCTGATCACAATCTTATTGGTGGTCCCTCAACCTCAAGCTCTTCTTCTTCAGGGTCATCAGGCTCTCTCATAACAGTGGCTTTTCAAATTTTAGTGAGCAGCCTCCCATCTGCCAAACTAAATCTAGAATCAGTTACTACAGTGAACAACCTCATCAGTACTACTGTCCAGCAAATAAAGGCAGCTTTGAATTGCTCAGGAGCTTAGAGAGAGAAAGAGAGAGTGAGGGGGAAGAGTTATTTATAACCACCCCACCCACCATTAATTCCGCTCTTGCTGTACTGCATTCAAGTTCATCGATTGGTTCTTGAATGCTTCATCAAGAGCAGAGAGGAAATCAAAAATTTTTCCTTGGGTCTCTCCTCTCTCTCTCTCTAAAGATGGGTGTTTCTCAAATGCTTCGACATGAACACCACCCATTTTTCTTGGGTTCTCCTCTCTCTCTAGTTTTCTCTTTTCGGTTTTCTCTCTCCATGTTTCTGTGATTCATTCTGTCTAATCCATTTTTTTGGGGTTTTATTAATTTTGAGAGTTTACAGGTTTTTTTCCTTTGATTTTGGTAGTGGGTTTTTCTTAAGTCTATAGAGATGGAGTCAAGAACGCACCATAGATGGGTTCCCTTGCTGTGGGTGAAGAGAGAGAAAGCAGTAAGGGTAAAATGGTTCGGGTATTGACTTCTCTTGAGACTTTTGAATGGAATTTCTATAGTGGCCAAAGGCAAATTTTGCCTATTTTTAGCTGTGTATCTTTCTTTGCTGCTCGTCTGTTGAGGGTGTTGTACCTGCTTTTGTTTGTTACATTTAATTATTGCTCCTCTTAGGGATGGCCCCTCTCTCTCTCTTATTTTTATTTATGAATGCTCCATATCTGATGGACCACTCTCCATTAAAACACCTCGATATCATTCGTCACACTCTGTCACATTGACTTTCTGTGGCCACGAGTGGACAATGCACCATTGTTAAGAGAGAGAAAGAGGGTACTAGATTTAGTGGTATGAGCATTACTTTAGAGAGAGAGAGAGACGGGGGGGGGAGGGAGAGAGAGGGTACTAGATTTGGTGGTATGAGCATTATGTTAGATAGAGAGAGGGTACTGGATTTGGTGGTGTGAGCATTATTCTAGAGAGAGAGAGAGGTGCTGCTATATTTGTTGGTATGAGCAATACTTTTCAGGACACTGAGGAAGGTGAAGAAGCTTGATGGGAGGTGGAAATTAGTCATCATTAAACAAGCTATACAGGATGCTAAAACAACCAAAGAATGTCTCACTAAGGTCAAACATATAGCAGTCATAAACAACAATGGTGGTGGTTATGGGCCAGGCTAGACCTCACCCTTGTCCCTACAAGGCCGGACCAAGCCTGGCACAGCTCTGATGGTGCCGAAAAAGACCTGGCTCATTCAGGTCTGACCTGGCTCATTCAGGTCTGACCTGGCCTTGTCCTCGGGTCGTGGTGGCCCTGGTCAATGTCCTAGTCTTTTTGGGCCCGGGTTGATTGGGCAAGGTCAGTTCATTGCCAGCCCTAATGGATTATTTGGTGGCGTTTAGTATCGAGTTTTTGCTAAACTTGTGATTAAAGTTTTTCTTGCCTATATGATATGATAAAGAAAAAAATTCGGGGTACAAACGGTTCTACTACAAATTGATCAAATGTATGTTAATGAAAACTATGAACCTGACCCGGGACTGACCTTCGACGTGGACCTAAACTTGCGTAGTCTAAATCGTCCCTATCCGGGTCTGGACCATGGTGGGCCTTGGGTATTTGGATCCAATAAAGGTTCGTCGTACAAGATAATAATTGTATTCTATTAACATGATATTATAACGATATATAATGTGAAATATTATGTATATGGGAGAATTATAAAAAAACAAAAGAATGCTTGAATCTTTATAATATCATTAGAAGGATCAAAAGGTAACAAATTATATTTGAGGGTTTGTTTTTGACTTTTTATGTCGGTTTAGTAAATCTTCATAACGATGTGTCAATTTTTTTTTTTCAAGCTGCCTTTTTTTTTGTTATTTAAAATGTGAAACATTTAGAGATATTTTTATTGTTTTGTACGAGCAAGGTATTGTAGTATTTTAAAAGATACCCCTCGTTGTACCGCTTTGGATAATTTCCCTAAGAAAAAATACAATTATGGCTTTCTTGTGCTATATAACTAGAGTTAAAATGGTCGTTCTACTTGGGCAACTAGATCGAGTGAAATCATTATCAACTAGATCGAGTCAAAATACTATCTTGCCCCTCAAATTTTTAGTGTTACGAACAAGAAACATGTATTCTATATTTAAATAAAGGAATACTTGTGTCTATCCAAAACATAATAGCTGGGGTTAAAAAGGTAATTTCGATTGAGCCACATAATTCTCACCAAATAACAAACTTACCTTTGGGTGTAGGAAATCTGGAAATGTGTTCGTACTTCCTAATGCTCAACTTTATCATTTTATACCAATGCCTGCCTTGCTTGTTTCAAATGACAAAAATAGCTTTACATGTTTTGTATTTTAAATATGTAATTATGTATTTTTTAATTTATCTATTTTTTTAAAGGTGTACTTGATTGGGTCCAAGTTCCCAAAGCCCACCACCCTTCACTGGCAATGTCAAGTTGGATGGCTTGGATCGAGTGACGAAGTCCGAGAAAATTTTTTTTTTTTTGAAATTTTGTGTCTATTCAGTGACATTCTTACAACCACCCATTCTGAAATTTAAGGGATAAAAATAATTGTGAACTCCATGTACACAAGAATGATCTCTTTGTAGATAATTCTTAATAGAAAACCTTAAAGATACCCTGAAGTGTAATTTGTTATCTTTTGACCCTTTTAATAATACTGTAAGGGGTTTCAACCAAAGCAAGGTCCAAAAGAAACTCGTTGGATCTGACCAAAGCAAGGTCCAAGATAAGCATCCCTCGCTTCTTTTTCTTTTGGAAGAGGGCTTTGTGTTTCACTTCTGCATCTATTTGTGAGATATGCAGGAGCAAATAAGAGAGATTGGAGATGGGGTTGGTTTGCAGTCAATGAAGAAGGGAGGAAGACCACAAATGTGGAATATTTGATCCCTATTCTACCAGTTTCTGAAGAAAATGCGATAATCAATGCGCTTAAAAAGTTGAAAACTGGGTAAATTTCTTGTTGAAGTGTGGACTAAGATCTCAGACATTTGATTTGAATTTTCAACAAATTGTGATGAAGCCTTTTCTCTCTCTACAGTCTTCAAATTGAGCCAAGCATCTGACAAGGTTGGATAGAAACTTGTACAAATTTGGACCAAAGAAAAAGGACACAGTTTTGATGAGTCAGCCGACTAACCTATTGTTGTGCGGTCCCTCATGCATCAGACGACCAACTTTAAGATGGATATCAAAAAATGGTGCATCCACAAAAAGCTAAAATGGATGGTGCATAAAACAATATAAAAAATTTCATTTTTTTGAAAAAAAGAAATTCCAAATTCATAAGCATCATCATAGTTGAGATTAGCAAATCTTAAAATTTCGGATAAAAATTCTTTCTTTGCGATGATTTTATAGGGAGACCGCACAAGAATAGGTGAGGCGGCCAACTCACCAATTACTTTTCCTTGCAAAAAAAAATTTAGAAATCAAAGGTGGTCCACCACCCTTCTCTATCAAGCACCTCAAAGCAGCACACGTGCGAACCAGCACCATGGATGAGGAATTTATTCAAAAGGGTGGTAACATAAAGACTATTAAATGTGTTATGAGGTTATTTAGTTGCATGGTGCACGTGCCATAGGCTTGTGGCTCTTTGATATTGAGAAAGATGGGCCTCAAAATCTAGGGTTAGGTTTTCAAAGCTGGGTACAGTTGCAATAAAGCTAGAAACAACTCACTCTTTAATGTTTGGCCGGCTAGTATCCCTTAAAGGCCTTCTTGGCCTTGGCCTTTATGAATGAAATTCGCCACCCTCACATGTTAAGACTCATGAATTGATGATGCAAACTTCTCAAAAGGCACATTCCATGTTCAAATCATGGACTAGGGAGAGAGAGAGAGATTTCATCCATAAGACAAGGACATGGAAAGAGAAGACTGTAGTATCCTATACTTAGAGAGAGAGAGAGAGAGAGAGAGAGAGAGAGAGAGAGAGAGAGA